CCCGGGGCGCTGACAGGAGCCGCGTCCCGGGTCTGTGGGTGCAGCCTGGCTCTCCGGGTTTTATGGGAGTTTGCTGAATATTGAGCTTAGTACCAAACCCGCGGGGGCTTTCCCCTGCAGGGATCCGCCCCAGGCAGGAGCAGCAGCGATCGGGAGCTGCGGGGAATGCGTTGTCGCGGCTCCGTGTCACTTTGGTCACTGCTCAGAGTGACAGGAGTGTCCCCAGAAATGTCAAAGCTGGTGTGTGCGTGGGGAGCCGAGCCAAGGGTGAACGCTGAGAGTCAGGGCTGGGTCCCCGACATTTATGGCCTTGCGGTGTAATGCGTCTAGTCACACCAGTCAATGAGCTGTAGAAGAGTAAGACTTAAAGCTACGATTTGGCACACCTGTCAATATGATTGACAGACTGTGATTGACACACAAGGTTGTGGGCTTTGTGAGGGAATTTATTGATCTTTATTTCTGCCTTGCACTTTTTTTTTCTCTTAATTTTAGATTGATGAAATTGAAGCGCTTTCATCCATCTATGGTGAAGATTGGTGTGTTATTGATGAGGATGAAAAGATCTACTGCATTAAGATTAGTGATTGTCTGGATCAACCAAAATGGACCCTCTGTCTGCAGGTGTGGTGGTAGTAAGGGGTTTTGCACAGAATTTGCTGTTGGACTGATCCAGGCGAAACCATGTGCTGTGTGAAACTTTTAAATATTGTTCATTATCCGCTAGGATAGATTAAGAAACTCTTGGACTGGAATCTGTGATAAGACTTTTCAGTGATTATTCCTGTAACACATCAATGTGCTTGTGACATATTCAGCCCAGACAAAAACTTTCAGTGTGCTTCTCCAAAGACTAATTCTGAAGATTTTTTAACATTGACTTTGTATGGTACATGTCAGTGAATCTGCTGCACTTGCTTCTAGATTGATGTTCTGAAAAGTGTGGAGACAAAATGAAATTTGGATCAACTTAATTGAGTAACTCACTGCTGTATGTTCTTGCAACTGAAAATAGTAAGTTCATTTAGTGGAAGAAACACTGAAGTGTCTATGTATGGAAGTGCAGTGCCATTTATTTCAGTCGAGTAAACGTTATTTTTTCTGTATTTTGCATCTTTAAAAATTGCACTATGAAATATAATTGTATGCACTGCTATTTTTGGAATTCTAAATACAGATATACAGGTTGTTCTTGTAATTCTGTAACAACATACCCAACTGTGTTCTTTATTTGTAACACTAATTGTAGTCCCAGTGCTTGACATCAATTAGTAAAGTTCAGCTTACTGAGAGGAGTAGTCATGTGAATACTTATCCTGAATTTCTTTCAGGTGATTTTGCCACCAGGATATCCAACTGCAGAGCCACCTATTTATCAGCTAAAGTAGGTGAAGATTTTTTTCCAACGTTTGTGTTTTCTGAATTACCAGTGTTAATTCATTACCATGTAAAGTAGAAGTTTAGTTAGGATGACTCCTTGAATTAAAGTATGGGGTGGGGGATGTTTCTGTCAAGAATATTCTAATCTTTCTCCTGAGGTAGCCTTAGGGTGCTCCCTTTGGCATTTTGGTCTCATTCCTCAAGTCTGATTCTTGCAGCATTATTTTGTGGCAAGGCAGCAATCAGACTGTGGAGGTATGGTGACAGCTGCCTGTTGTTTTGGACAGTGATGTCTCATTGCTTCCTCAGGAGTACCCCTCTTGTCTGGATCCTTGTTTCAGATTGTAGGGGATGCCTGTCATCTGAGCACTGGTGCTTGTTGGGATGGAGTCATGGCATGTGCCATCCTCCTGCTTTACCCCGTAAAGAAGAGGGGAATGGAGACATGTAAGCCAGATCCCTGATTTGGATGACAGAGGGACCTATCCCAGGGTGTGACACACAGCATATCTGCTGAGTTTTGGTCAGCAGTATTGACAAGGCAGTACAATGTAGTCCTAGTAAACTTGAGGCAAAGTTATAGTTTAACATGAGCCCAGGAGGACAGTGGTACAGAACTGAGGGGTCATTCTAAGTATAGTAGGTACTGCAGTGCTGAAGGAGTTGGAAGGGTTAAACTAATTATACTTAGGGTGACTCTGGAGTCACAGTGGCCTACCATGAAAAACAAGTCTAGTTTTTTATCTGAGGTAAGAAAATGAAGCCCAGGTTAGGTGTCTTGAAGGAGAATTGGGGAAGCATGCTTTTTCCAAAATGTTTACAGCTGACATTTTAGTGATTGACAGTGTTGTATTTTCCAGGTGTTTATCCCATCTATTTTAGAATGTTGGAAGCAGCGTATGGTACAATTTTCATTGCATTTCTTTTCATTCTAGTGCCCCTTGGCTTCGAGGACAAGATTATACAGACCTAGCAAATAGCTTGGAAGAAATATATGTGTAAGTTTGGGACTGTGGAATGTAGTAAAACGAGACAGTGTATTTTCAGTTTCATGCCTTTGCTCAGTGTAGGCTTTTGAAGTACCTGCGTGAACTAGGAGTTGTGAAGTGATAAAAGAGCAAGTTTCTTTTATAAATCTAACAGTTAAAGATGCTGTGTAGTTACTAAACATCTTGCAGGAAAAAAAATTGTGTTAAACTCTGAGAAATTTATGTTGTTTAGACCTGGTGTTCTAATAAGGATAGAAGCCTTCATTTTGACTCTTGAGAGAATAGATTCCATTTAGGATCTATGAGATTGTTCATTGATTGGTGCTATGAAATATGAGATTTTTACATTGGAATGGTAAAGCACAGGATGTGAAAATATATGTTTGTGTCTTGGAGTGTAAGTGGCATTAACAGTTTTTCTCAAAAGCTAAGGGGTAAGTAGGTTTTGAAACAACGTGCAGAATCTATTAACTGAAATCTGGAACATCACAGACTTTTATTATCACAGTGTGGAGCTAACAACAAGGCATAATGAATGCCTGACAATAAACAGAGCGTTTAGCAATACTTAGATTACATGGGTTTGAATTGCTGTGAAATCGGGTTAGTAAACGTAGTAATTTTATATGGTTTATTTATTTATTTCAGATCCCAAAGATAATATAAAATAAATGAAATTAAAACATATCATAAGGAAGCACAGTCATGCCCCAGATAGTGAAATCTGAACATCTTATATAAGAAATGTTTTTTTAATGCCATGGGGAAGAGAGCACTTAGCTTGCATAAGGGTTTTTTCTCTAATTACTCAGTTACTTTGATTAACTAGGCTTCTTAGCTAATTAAGCAACAGATCATTTAAGCAATTTGAAGTGTTAAAAATGCACAAGGATTTTAAGTGAAGAGTTCTATGGGATGATATTCACCACATTGTTCAGCAGCAAGGACAGAGATTGTCCTTAATGCTGTCCAGATTCCAAGGATTTGTTGGAGACTGTACCACAGTTAGAGCAGCTATAGGTGGTTCTTTAAATGTCCTGAGCATCTAGAGTGAGTTGGCACATAAGGACTGTGAGCATGGTTGTGAAGCACTTTTTGTTTGGTTTTGTTCCCCCCTTGCAGTCCTGTAAGCTGTTACACTGTGCTAGTGAGTCCCTTGCAGCTCCCTTCTGTCTGTCTCAGCTGCTGTTCAGAGCCCTCCACAGTTAGAGCAGCTATAGGTGGTTCTTTAAATGTCCTGAGCATCTAGAGTGAGTTGGCACATAAGGACTGTGAGCATGGTTGTGAAGCACTTTTTGTTTGGTTTTGTTCCCCCCTTGCAGTCCTGTAAGCTGTTACACTGTGCTAGTGAGTCCCTTGCAGCTCCCTTCTGTCTGTCTCAGCTGCTGTTCAGAGCCCTCGTGTCACTTCTTTTAGGAAGTGAACGCGTTTGTACTTTAGGCCATGCCTGTCGTTTTAGGCTGTTTAAAAAACTGGAGTAGTCACTGATGTGTACAGGTTTTGTGAAAGCCTTTTATCTATTCAATGTCTGAATGGCTGTCAGATAAACAGATACTCTGCATCATTCACACTGCATGTCTGACCGGGTTTCAAGTCCCTAGTGGTCTAAGTTGTATAGTTCTGCAGTCTAAACCAGTATGAACTATACTGTGAATTGTGTCTTCTTAAGGCAGAAAAAGTGGATGATTATGCATCAAAAGTATGTTTTGGGAGGCAGAGAGTTCTTAAAAATGTAACAGATGTTTAAGTTTGGTTTTCATTGAGTTTATATCTTCCTGGATATTTGTCTGGTTAAGATTCGGACTCAATAGAAAGCTTTGGTTCATGATTTAGGCACAAGTGACCAGAAAAAATACCAGCATAGAAAGATAACCTTTCAGACTAAGTGTAATTTGCAACTATTCAGAAACTGAAATTGGGTTATAGCTGGAGAAATTACTATTCACTTGTGCAAAACTGAGAAATCATACTCATTGTCTAATCTCTCTCATTCCGTCACTGAAAAAATATAAGTCTTAGGTATGAGAGGAGTGCTTCTGTACATGAAGCACTGTGAAATCAGGGTGTTGAATTGTTCTGCAGTCTGTCCAGATTTTGAAGACAGAGCTGCAAGTTTATAAATTCCTTAATTTTGCTTGAATATTTTTCTTAAAATATGTATGTTTATTTGAATTTGATTGTTTCCAGTAGTAGTGCTGTGCACGTTAAGCAAAGTAGGAGTTTAAAGGTGTAATTTTGTCACTTGCATGGTGCCCAGATGGTGGCAGTAAGAATAAAATTAATGAGAAACCATGAGCTACCTACAGCCCTAGATCTTTAGTTTTGTTTTGGAGACAAGCATGTACAGTTCATAAACATAATAAAATAAAATTGTGAAGACTCCTTGCAGGACACCATTTTAAATGTATTTTGAGTTCTTTGGGTCCTGCTGCACATTAAGGAAGCATTTCTTAACTCCAAATATGCATACATAAAATGTCTTCATCCCATCCTACCTCAGTACCTTACTACACACCTGTGCCCCCTGACTCAGGACTCCTGGATCTAAATCTTTACCTCACTGACCTATAGGACTGCTTGTTACCCAGACTGTAGTGTGTCAGTGCAAAGCTCCGCTGTGTCGGCTGGCACGGACCTACTATCACAGTCCACCACTAACACAGTCAGCTGTGTTGATGAAGAGAGAGTCCCCTACAGCCACAGAGCAGCTGAAGGATCTCACCACTGGCAGTGCAGTGTCTTTTGTAGAGGAAACTGATCCAGAGCAAGCTCTAAGGCTAGACATCGTAGCTTAGGATTCTTTCGAATATACTGAGGTCTGTTCAACTCTCTCTTCTCACTGTTGTTTTCCCTTTTCTTAGTGGTCAGTTAGTTTCTGTCAGTTGCCTGTTTTCTGCCAGCGTTGGTGCTTTTAGTGTTAATAAATAAATAAAGCATGCCACAAAGAGAGTGTATAATGATGCAGATATCATGTGTTTCACCCAGTGAACTACTGAGACAGAACTTTCCACAAGCCTGCTTAAGCTCTTTATCTCATTAGCTTATTATGTTCTATTTCTGTGTGTGTGAAATCTGTATGTTATTTGATGTGCTTTCCAAGTGAAATCTGCAAAAATGATTCTTCATTTACTGTGAGTTTTAACTTCCAGGCAGAACCTTGGTGAAAGCATACTATACTTATGGGTGGAGAAGATACGAGAAGTTCTGGTAGACAAGGCACAGTCTTCAGATCCAGGTACTTCAGAAAATAAATGGGGTTATCATTCTACTTCTTGTTCCACTATAAAGTAAGATTTCAGTGCAAGTTCAAGTTTATGCCCAGTTTTGTATTGGATCTAAATACCAGAAAACAGTCTCCAGTGCCAAGGCTTTTTTTTTTACAGTGATGGCTTCCCTTTTTAAAAAGCCGAAGGGAAAAGAAGGAGGGGGGTGGCCTTGAACTAAAACAAGGTCCTTAGTTCTGTCAGGAATGAAATTACATGAAAGGAGAGTACTGCACACAAGTACATTATGCATTGTCCTCTGTTCTGCTGAGGAATTATTCCTATCAATAATTTATTTCTGGTGTTGAGTGCACTGTTGGAGGATTGGGATTCAAGAGCAAGTATACTTCAGGGGAATATGCAGATGAGTGACCAAGTATTCCATCTTAATTGCATTTTACTATATTGGGATGAGAAGTACATTGTCACTAGAGTTTCAGTGATTCTTGTGCTGTTACTCTGAGTTTGTGTAAATTCACAGTTGTTCTTTCAAAAAATGGTGGATTTTTTGTGCATCAAAATGCTAAACTGCTATGAAATGCATGAGTGACTTGTGTATGCACATGTAACAAAAGCAAACAGAAGTACTCTTCTGTGTCATGAATGTTGGCTTAGTCATGTGAGGAATAAGAGACTGAAGAGGGGAAAAATTAGATTTTCACTGTTTTGCTTTGTGGTAAGGTCTAGTTATAGCCTTTCAATAAACTCTTCATTTTGTTGCTACATCACAGACACTTAAGTAATTTTTCATTGATGTGACTGAAGAAGTGGATAGGAGACTTTCTTAGCTCATTCGGCCCTCTGGTTACTACCCACTGCTAGTAGTCCAGGTTGGCAGTGATGATATTAATGAAAGAGGCATTAGGGTATTCAAAAAAGATTTTGATAAACTGGGCAGAACCCTAGCCATGTGTGATATTTCTTCTTTTGTTATTGACTTGGTTTTTGTATGTTCTATTCATGAAGGAAAACAGGATTTTGGGAAACCCAGAGTACATGAAACATGTCAAGAGAGTTGTTTCAAATCTAATGTCTTTACAACCTCATGGAATAGCATTGAGCAATAGCTCTATGTTTTCCCCAAAATGACCAGTAAATAACTGGAGTTTTTGTGAAGCATCAGCTCATTTTGGTTGCTAAATTCAGATTAAATTAAAGGTAGCATTGTAAATGTTTAATGGAAATAGTAAACATTATTGTTCTTTACTTCTTGTTACTTAGTATTGAAACAGAAGATCTTATGCCAGGATCTCATAGCACGAGTATTGTCTTGCTACTTCTAAGGAAGATTTTAATTCATACTGGGCTGAGTGTTTTGGGGGTTTGTTGTAATTAATGTTACTATTCTGCAGTCCATAATTGGCAACCTGTCCTGAACTGAAAAAACAGATTTTTGAGAAAGAGTTTGAAATTTTGTTCTGCTTGTCTCACAAAATAAAGTAGAATAAGTTCTACTACTTGTGTCTTAATAGAACCAGATATTAAGAAAACCACTGAAGAAGCTGATGAAGATGATGGAGATGATTTTCTCCTAGACTATCAGGCCATTCAGGAAGATACAATTAAAATGTTAAATTGCATGACATCTGAAAGTCAGGAAGGTAAGAATTATGCTCTTGTTAATTCTGTTGAAATAGAGAGGCCTGAAGATTTCACTTTTCTACTCAGCTTTAGAGTAAAATCAGTAGCAATAAAATGTTAATGAAATTTAATAGCTGTCGTTAAGAACATATTTTTGGTGGTTCTGATGTCATCTTGGGTACTTCGCTTTAACAAATCCCTTTTTTAAAGTAGAGGCATTCTTTACTTATGTAACCATATAGACTGTTTCCACACTCTTAAAAGAAAACTGGCACTTGTTTGTTTGTGACCAACAGATGAAGAACTGCCATCCATCCATCATGGAAACCCAATCACAGATCGAAGGAGTACTTTCCAGGCACATCTGGCTCCAGTGGTGACAACCAGACAAGTTAGTAGAGATCTGTTCTACTCTTTTTGCCTGTACTTTGAGCTTCACAAAATATTACTGAAATACATGAGATTTGCCAAAAATGTTTGTCTGTGCATCTTTGTGTGCTAGTATTGTCTGAATAGTCATCGGTTTCTCACTTCCACTATCAGCTGAATATCTCTGCAATGCTTCCTGCTATTCTTTACAATTATGTGCATTAGATGTAAGAGAATAAGAACATGGTAATTTTAAAATTAGTTTGTAAATCTTTTCCCTCCTTCAGAAAGGAATTCTATTGAAAAACACACTTGGATCATGCATAAATAAATCTTTATTGGGACCTAATTGAGGGGTGTTTGGAGTTACTTTGTACATCACTTTGCATCTATTATCATCAGCCTCCTTTGATCATCCCTATTCAATGGGGAAACTATCCATCTTTTCCTGTTATTAGCTGAGAGTTAAACCTTGAGAGGATTTTCCTCTCTTTATACAACTTTAGGTTTTATTTTAAGGATTTTTGGTAAGGGATATTGTCAAATGCTTTTTGAAATTCCAGGTAAGCTAGGCCTACTGCATGCTCAGTGACTGTGAAAGAATGTTGACAGATTGACAGGGTTTTGAGGCTTATTTCTCTGTACAAAACCTGCAGTGTCTGTGGGTTTGGGGTTTTTTTGCGTGGGATTTTTTGGTTTTTTTTTTTTCTTTTTTTCTTTCCCCTCATTAGTTTGCCTGGGATGGATGTAAGACTTGATCTTTAAATCCCTGCATCCTTTCTGGAGCACTTCGACCTTTCAGATTCACATATACTGTACATTAATTTAGGGTTTTGTACTGCAGCTGTATCTTCTTTAAATAATTCTTTTATGTATACATTATATATGAACTGTATTGCTTTAGAAAGGTAAGAAATGGTAATCATTGGCTTAATGTAATTTTTTCATTTTAATATACTCTGCCCCTTTCATCATGATTTATGAGTCAGATTGTTCCTTCATACGGGGAAGTCTGTACCCACAGACACAGGTTTGCAAAAGGGCAGATTTGTATCAAGAAATATTACTCACTTAAAAAGAAGCTTAGTAATTTCCTCTTTGCATGCAAAGACATTCCTAATTTCTTCTTTCATGGCGCTTTTTTTTTTTTTTAAAACACACCATGTACTTAATCAACCTGGGAGTTTCCAGTTAAGACTTACTAGTATATGGTTAGTATAAAGATAGAGCAATTCCCCCAATATTTGGGGAAATTCATCTTCTTTCACAGAGTCTTGCTGTGCAGTGTGAGGTGATTGGTCTTGAGACTGCAGGGAAGCTTTACTGTGGTGTGGACTAATTTTTCTGAAAGAAAGTCAAAACAGATGAGGACTGGAGCAAGCACTGCACCTGTAGTGAAAGCTGGCTGCGTTACCAGCTGGACAGGTCAGTAGGTGCCCATAATACTTTATCTGTGTATTTTGTGTGCTGCAGTGATATTCATTGATATTTTAAAACCATGTAGAGGTTGCCACGTGAATGTCTCTATTGAGTGGGACTGAGAACTGATCTATTGTTTCAGCATCTTGTGTCTTTTATGAGTAGGTGCCTCGTTGGTGTGTAGAGAACTACATCCCTAACTTCCCTAACACAGGAATAGTAGAGAAAGGAACGGGATTAAAAAGAAGCTCAAGAGAGAGCTACAGGATAAAGGAGAACTTGCTTAGTCGTAAAACATGTCTTGGAGCTTCATTGCTAGTACAGACACATAATGAATCTTGAAAGTATATTTTGAGGAACCTGGTAGCTGGCAAATAAGTAATGTTAATGGTGATGATCATATGACCTGTACCCTAAGTCCATGTATTGAAATGTATTGTCCATTTTTATGAAAGTGTATTAAGTAATGTGTTGTCTTTCTATAGTATTTAAAATAAGAAGGTCTCTGAAGCAATGTTCTCCATTAATAAGAGGAGTTTTTTCATTGATGTATCTTATATTTGAGGTGATTTTTGTTGTCAGTTGAATTTCTTGAAGAAGAACTGGAAATAGCACAGTATAGCTATGACAGATATTAAATGTGTCTATTGATTACTCCTCAGAGACATTTTCCTTTTGCCTGGAAGGCAATTTACTTGCCAGGCATGTTTTCCCAAGCTTTCTCAACTTGAGTATTATGTACTAAAATGATGTCTTAATCAAAAGCTCTGCTTTTTCCTAGACCATTGGAAAGGATTTAACAATTGCTGGCTTGTTTAATTAGAAAATGAACTGATAGATAAATGTTTTGAATCTGGTACTTCTTAGGAGCAGAGAGATGGACATTACAGGAATCTCTGTTTTCTGGGAAATATTGACACTTTGAGACTCCTAATAGGACATTTCCTTTTTTTATTGTTCTTTCTGTGAAGTGGAAACTCTGGGAAAAAATATGTTTGAGGAAAAACTCGAAATGTAGAACTTTTTAAACATCACGTTTTTGTGAAACAGATAAAAGCAGTGTATAATGCGAAAATGTATGTCAAGTTCTGTTCTATTCCAGGTTAATCTTAGAATCGAAAAAGTCAGCTGTAATTGATACTTAATACCAATTAAACATATTTTCTGGATCTTATTGTCTCTCTTGTTTAGTAAAGTGATTTGACACTCCTTCAGCAATAACATGAATGTGCACAATGTACAAATTCAAGGAGCAGCTGTTTTCAGTATCCCAGAAACATTACTTGAAACAAACATGAGGGTATTGAGAAGCTGCTCCTTGAGTTATATCACACTGAATATTTAAAATCAATGCATGAAATTACTTCGTTATAGTACTAAAGAGGTTTGTTTAGCAGTGATACTGAGATGGTGTGTATGAAATCCCTGTTATAAAAGGAAGGCTTTTTTCTTGTTTTTTCAAAGGTGAAAAGAGTTCTTGAAAAGTTATACGAGAACAAGAAAATTGCGAGTGCTACCCACAACATATATGCATACAGGTGAGATGCAAGTTACGATTTTCTTTTTTTTAGTATTCTTTGACAAATGAGTGCAGGACATGAGAAAGAAATTCCTTCCTATTAAATTCTTTGTATTAAAAGAAATTCCTTGCTATTAAATCTTTATGGGAATAGGTTTCTTATTTGCATGGTAAACGTTGCAGGCTTCATTTTGAATTAGGGGTCAAGAAAGTAGAACATAGCATAGGAAATAAGATAGTAAAGCAGCATTAGGAAGAGTAATGTTTAAAAAAGAAGGATAAGTGGGTTTGAACATGTGTTGGTATATTTTATATAGTATGTGTGAGCATGGAAATGCTACGTCATCCTGAACTAAATGGTTTTCACTTGGGTGAAGTAACTTTTTTCCCCCCCAACCTTATATGTAGCAGTAGCTGGAAATGTTCAGTTGAAATAAGAGTCGAAACAGAAAGCCTGATGCAGACATCTGGCATATGAAGTTTCAGCTGAAATACGAGAAACTTCAGGGAAAATGAGAAACAGGTAAAAAAGAGTTTGGCAGTGATCTGCCTCTGGCAACTTCTGTGAACGTAGCTTATATGAAATGAATTGGTCCCAGTCCAGAGAGTGATGTAGGTTTTATGAGGACTGTAAGTGACAGTCAAAGGAAGCCTTTTTATTACTGGAGGAGCCAGTCATTTGGAAAAGCATGTATAGATGCTGATCGATTCATGCCCATCCTGCTGTGATTCCAATGAACCATGAAATGAGAGCAAGTGAAAGCTTATTTTATGAGAAAGTAAAAGCTTCTACCTGAGTTAAAAGGTTTCTGTAAAGAAGAGATTTCTGTTGTTGCAGATGGTGAGCTGGCTTCTTTCACTCATACTATCCAAGTGCACTTCAAAACAAGCAACAGACACATACTCACTGCTTCCTATTTGTCATCTAGTACCAGAAGCCTCTTTCTCATTGTGTCACTTGTGTATTAACCAAGTTTGGAAGTTATGAAATCAGTTGATTTGGTCTTCAATCAGTAGACCTTTGAGCATTTCTTCTGGAAAATTAGACCTGGGCAGCTGTCCTTTATATGAAACAATACACCCGAAAGTTTCCTGGAATGCCCCCTGAGGTAGGAGATGACATGGAGAATCTGAAGGCAAATTTCAGTAGCAGTAGTTTCACTTTGCTGCTGAAATACAGACCTAACCTATTATTCACAATGTTTTTGTCCAAGTTCTTCCAGCTTAGGGGTTTGTACCACGATTTCAGCCTCTATCTGATAGACTTGGTTTCAGCTACATGTAATTACTAGGCTAACAACCTAAGGATTTTTCTGAGTAGGGACTTTGCACTGGTAATGACTCTGGAGTTGACCTGAAGTAGCTAAAGTCTGTGTAAAAGCTTCTCAAAACTTGCTCTTCTGTACAAATAAAGATTTGTGGTTTACCCTAAGCCTCATCCTGTTTTCATGTAAATGCCCTTAGTAGAGAAGTAGGGTTGATACACATGTATGAAAGATCTTTATTAATCATGTAAAAATGTTAGTTGATTGGTATTTTTTTAAATCTATTTTATGGTTTTTTTTATTCTTTTCAAGAATATACTGTGAAGATAAACAGACATTCCTACAGGATTGTGAAGATGATGGAGAAACAGCAGCAGGTGGACGTCTTCTTCATCTTATGCAGGTTATAGAAATTAATCTTTCACTTCTGGAAATCTTGAAAAGATTTAAAAAATCATTACAATGTAAATAAACCTGTAGAAGATTATTTTAATTCTTGCTCTGCCTGCAGCCGAACAGATGAAAAAACACAGACTGCAGCATTTTCAATTCTTGGATCATAGAAACAAGTGGTGTTTCATAGGTAGTAGTAATAGTTTGAATGGGTTGAAAGATAGTTAAGTCCTGTGCTTACTATGTGGTGTAAGGTATATAGAAATGAGGACTGGAAGCAGCTGACTGAGATAGCAGCTGACCTGTGCTCAGCCTGTCGTGTGGTTTCCTCGAGTATGCATAGTAAAAGTGACATGTATATCAACTTGCAGAGTAGAATTTCAAGCACAAGAGGTAGTGGGAGTGAAGGGGTTAAGTTGCTTTGATCATTTAGCCTGTTTTGTTGTGCTGTTTCCAATTCTGGGTCCATAGCCCTCATACTCACATATATTTTAGTTTTCTCCTGTTGAAATAATAATCCCTCAGCAAAGGCGCTACTGAATGTGAGTTGAGGTTGATAAACTTTGTTCATGATGCAAGCCCTAGTAAATAAAATACCATAGCTAGGGACAGCTGGGTACATCTTAATGCTGTGCCTCAAGTCACTCAGCTATATGGGCAGGCTAATTTCTGCTTTTGATTTCTGTTTCTGGATGTCCCCTTCACAACAGGAGTTTTCTTTTCCCATGTTTTGCTTGCTTAGTGTGTTGTCCTCTTATTCCTGGAGACTCCTCGCCCTCCCTGCCCGCCGCTTCCTTTTTTTTCTGAAAAAAATATAATGGATTGAAATATTTCCACATTTTAAATTCGGAACTTTTTCAAACTTCCTATGTAACTCAAACCAGACTTGGGAAGGAAAACTTAGGTTATGTAATATATGCAAGTAAATGTGCTAAATGTGAAAACATTGCTATGAAGATAATGTAAATAAACAATTTGGCAGTTACTGTCCCTCAGTTTGTTCTGAGCTTATAAGCATTTTCCCAGCATGTTAATATATACTTTTGAAAGCTGTCAGACTTAGAGTGTCTAGACACTTAATATTCCATAAAAATCCAGTTAGAAAGTGGCATTTCAAATGTGTGTGTCTAAATTATATGAATCATTGCTCTCCATCTGTAGCCCTAGTTAGTGGGACTATTTCTGTTTTAGAAGAGTACTACTGCAGGGATCAGAAAAGTGCAGTTTTCAGCCATAGAAAAAGATTAAAATAGTTTATGGGCTGATTTCTAGATGCTCCTAGATCTTGTAGTTTTTCTGTTACAAGCACTTAGGACATATTATATGGGTATGAAAATTAGGTGATCTTAAACATTTACTGTTGCTGTACTTAGAGTCTTTTTCTGCAATAGAAATCTAATCTTGTTTCAGACAAACCTAGCACTTCAGTCAAGACAACACTTTCTGGTACCATCCTTTTTACTGTGAATGTTTGCTGTACATATACTTTATGGCCAGTGCATGAATGTAGAATGGAAAATGCCTGTCCCAGAACCTGCCCCAATCCTTTTTCTTTTTCATGATCCTTTTCATTTTTAAATTCTAAGAATATTTCTGTTTTCACAAACAATCTTGGATTCTTCTAATAGTATTGTTCAAATTAGTCAAATATGTGCTTTTTTCTCCTTAATGGAGACGATTAATGGTTGTTAATATGCACACAGTACAGTACTAGCTTATGGCATTTTAGGGATCCATATGTGCCCTGGCTGTTATTAGCCTTATCCGCCAACACTTCCAAAAATGTGGATAGACAATCTGCTTAGTAACAGAGGGTCTCTGGAAATAATAATTGATCATATCAAAGAATAAGAAATGTAATTTAGTAATTTTCCTGTTAAGTAATGCCTGAAGCCTTTGACACATGGATGAGCAGCTCTAGCACATGAGAGCTTTGCACCCTTTCTGAGGGATACATTGGCTCATTTTACTTTGGAATTTACCTTGGACTAGGAGCTTGGAGAGGGAAACTTTCCACAACAGTTGACGTCATTATTTGTTACCCTTTGGGAACCTATGTATGATACAGACCTGACTGTAAGATATTCTTAAAAATACAAGATAATAAACATTTTTGTGTTAAAATTGGTGTTAACGGTAAAACTAGTTCAATTAAAAATACCAACTTTTATTTCTTTCTGTTATTCACAGATTTTGAATGTCCACAACGTGTTAGTTGTGGTGTCACGCTGGTACGGAGGTATTCTCTTAGGACCAGATCGTTTCAAACATATAAACAACTGTGCAAGAAATGTGCTTGTGGAATATGACTACGTACCTTCAGTGGTAAGTTGCTGCCACCTAGAATGGGAGCATTGCCATGTGAACTGTGTGAATTGTCACTTTTAGATGAAGCCAGAAGAAAAGTAATATGACCTCTGTCGTCCTCGGGTTGCTTTGATGCACTGGCAGTAAGCATGGGGTCAGTGCAAAGGCACCTGAAGAACTTTCAAAGAAACTAATGACATGTTTTGTAAGTGTGAGATGAGCAACAAAAGAGTGGCAGCAGCTGAGGGCATTGATTCAAACACAAATTTGAGGGTTGGGAGAGAATGGGAAGGGGAAATACCTCTTTTTGTGTTCAGAAAATTGGAAGCTGCCACTTCTTATGCTTCCCTGTGCCCCCAGTTCTAGTGTGTAGGCAGACTGAGCTTGGGAATCACTGTAACTAGTAGGCATGTTAGAAATGGAAAGCTTTGTTAGTCTCAAGTTTTCAGAATTAAAGCTGATAAACTACATTTTTAAAAAAATATAGAAGAATTCAAGCAAAGTAACGTTACTGGTACAGAAAAGGTTATGGGAAAATGTTCCAAGAGAGCTTAAATAACTCAGGAGACAAAGTTCCAAATGACTTTAAATGGCATTTTACTTGTTAAGAGATTTAGGTCATTTAATAATCTAATATTTTTCAACATTTCTACATCCTCAGAGCAGAATATCAGATAAGTCTATGTACAGTATAGTATCTAATAGGTAACAACAGCAAGTTTCAGATAGTAGAAAAGAAGTACTAAAGGATAATTGGAAAGGTTGGAAAGGTATGCAGCTGTCAGTTTTCCTTTTTATATTAAAATATTTCAGATTGATATGACTGAAAGCTGAGCCTTCTTCCCTATTCTTCCCTCTGCGTGTTTCAGTCACTTCCTTTTTGCAGTTTAGAGGTGTTTATATGTATTTGGTGATTCACCTTCTTGGCAGTTTATCAGTGTTTTCTTCTTTGAAAGCATGAATCATATAATAAGAGGAATGATTTTTAAGCATTTATCCTCCTGAGAAGGTTTAATACCAAAAATTACTTGTTTTTTCTATTTTTGACACCTTAAGTCAGACTGTATTTTTTTACTGAGTATTAACAAATGTTTTGTTACCAGTGTCCATCAGAAAAATAACAGAACTTACTATAGATGTGACACTTGAAAAAAATGCTCTTTTAGCTAACTCTCTTCAGAGTAGCAGAGTTCAAATAATCTCTTAGAGTCCATTTCCCTACCATGCGCAAGTGATGGAAGACAATAGATTAAAACATTCCATGTTCTGTCAAATGTAGTGGCAGAGTCCTTTACCAGTTTGGGGAGTGTTTGCAATGAATGCCTGCTGAAGAAAAGTCTCGTTTTTCAGAACTAGCGGTCAGAGTAAACTGTACATTACAGTGTTGATCCAGCAAGACTGGCTGAACTTTGTTTTTCTCAGTGTAGGTTCATTTCACTTAGAGAAACGAAGTGGTTTTAGTGTCCTGATGCTTGGTATTTCTCTTCATGAGGCACATCCAGACTAAAAGAAGTTCTGCAGTATAGTGCTATGGAACTATTCCTATACTGGTAACCACTCCTTGAGTGGAAATGACTGAGATTGTTTTTCCATTATGTACTTCTGTTGGCATAGCAATGTCTATAATTTTGCCATTGCTGAAGGCAGAAATTTCTAAATAACAAGATAAGCTGACAAATTAATGAAACTCAGTGTGTAAGTATTATACAACTCAAAACAAAAGCCCAGTGAACTATGAACATTTTATATTAAAAATAATTCTCATGTGTGACCTTGAGAGAATACTCATAATTTACAAGAATGTTGTTTAAATTTTGAAATGCTTGTTTTTCGTTTCAGGAAGACTCATCTAAACAAGCAGGAAAGAGCAAAAAGACAAGGAAGGACAAGAAGAGAACAGAACACTAATTTATTTTTTTAAAACTTTAAAAGATCATTTTGCACATATTTATACAAAGAAAACCTGGACCTTATTGCCTTATATAACAGACATGTTGTATTCAGAAGAGAATTTAGTAAAGCTATAGATACATTTTTGTCTTGTTTTGTGATTTCTTCTGCTGTTCTGAAGTAGAGCTTAGACTCAAGTTTTCTGTTTGTTATACATTTCATCTTCTTGTTATGAGGACATTGCAGCATCTGAAACCATTACCCCATCCCACCCTCTCCCACCGAGCAATGGTTCTCTAGTTGAAAATGTGGATTTCTCAACTTCTCCATTTCTAGGTTCAAACTCAAATACCTGTCTTGTGTTAGTAATTGAATTCCCTAGTTTGTTGTATTGAGGGTAAGACTTAGTCACACACCAGATCACTGGACTTTGGAGAGCCTGATCCTGCCTATGCAGTTTTTGATTATGCTAGACAGGGCCAGCTTGGTGATGCAAGAAAGGCTAAACATGGGCAATGAGCTAAGGATTGTGAAGGAATTACTTCAGAATTTATTTGAGGATTGTTCTGTGACAATTGGGACTATGGGAATCTGTTGAAAAGCTGAGGATTAAGTGTTGCATAATTAAAGGAATCAGTAATTTCAGCAAAATACATGGGGATTTTGAAATAGTGTTACATCCAGTAGAGAACATATAAATGTTAGGAAGTGACTTCTGTTGATGTAGAGTGGGAAAAAAAGCAAGTGTTATTGATATGGTCACAATGACTTGAATCTTCTAGTCTTTTATTAATAGCTTTCAGACTTCAATACATTAAAAAAACAAAAAAGGGAGAATCTTTTGTCAGTTAATTGTCATATTGCTATTTAGATGAGATTAAATATTTTTTTTAACATCCCCTTGATATCTTCCATTTGGGGAGGATGGACTTTAATGATCTGTTGGGTCTTGTCTTTTTTTCCCAAGTTTTTTTCTAAATTTTGTGGTCTGTTAATCACCAGCTTAGTCACAGGTGCTTTCTTGGATCAGGTACACCTTGCGCAGTTTGCTTATATAGCAATGTCAGAGCTGTGACTGTTTTTAATTGCATTTCTTCAGTGTCACTTATGTAGTTTAAAGATGTGTTTGTAAGACTTATTTGACCACCAGTTCAGTATACATCTTTTTGCCAATATGTTCTTACCCTGAGTTTCTCATTATAGTTCTCCAAGCATGGGTACTCTGGAAAACCTTTCTCAAGGCAAACTTCATCCAGTCAAAGTAACTACTTCAGAGTTTGAGAGAGCAACAAAGATACTCCTTAGCAATTCCAGTAACTTAAAAGCATGCCATGATTTTAAAAAACCCTGCTGATTCCTGCTTATTTCCTTATTATTATAAGGAAATATTATTTCCTTATTATTTAATAAATTCCTGATTTATTAGAACAATTTTACAGTTACATTACCTTGTGTGCATAGCAAAGCTCTTTTGAGTTCAGCCTTAGCATCTGTACTTGTGATACCAAAATTGCTTTTCTTGCAGGAAAGGAGATCCATACTGCATATATAGTAGTGTACTTGCTGGATCATACAAGTATTTCTTGTTCATAGTTTGTCTTATGGATACTCTTTTAAAGTAGAGATTTTAGCATTCACTTCCAGTACTTTATTGACTTAAGTATTACTAAGTTTCTGTTGTTTTTCTGAGAGTTTGAGATGGTAGAAATTAATGTGGGAAGCAGGTGAATTTTGAGTTCTGCTCCAGCCACCCAAGATACATTTCCCTTCATGGCAACGCATGCTCTTTCTCCAAAGAGCATCCTTTAAGCTTTGAATGCTCGAAATCAGCAAGGGATTCTGAAGGTCTGAACTTTTGGGTGTTCAGTCTGAGGTATGTGAAAGTTAACTATCTGTTTATAACTTTTTTATTGCCTTTTTTTTAATAGAAAATAAGGATCCTTTTCCCCAAGAATCTCATGTGTCAGTGTTGTGTGTTAGCAAAAACTAAAACCCCAAAATGGAAGAAAGAAGTTGTTGATAACCACTGGCTGCATAAATAAAACAGACCATAGAGGTCATCTGCTCAGTGAGCAAAATGAATCCTCTGTCCTTTAAAATGTCTGAAAACAGACCATGAAACTGGAAACATGTTTGTAATTTCACACCGTGTCTTTCAGAGAGAATGTGAAGTGCTGGCTAACTGTCTTGTGGACCCTTTTGATTGGAGAAGTTACTTTCTCTTCCTATTTTTATTTGTAAGCATTTCCTAAGTTTAAGCTTCC